GTTGGCAGAAGCTGGGACTAGTGATGGGAGCTCACTTGGGCCTCGAACTGCCAACCTGCCAATCTTGCAATCCACAGAGTCAGCATCTTCACCACTTGAGCCAGACAAGGAGAATTTCCTCTCTCTTTTTGGTCCCAAAAGGAAGGGCAGGACAGTGTTGACTCCTGGCAAGCATGCAGGGATTTGCAGGCTGTAGGGAATTAATTAATTGATCCCAGGTCACATTGGCCTCTATGGTGCCGAGAGACAGCTGGAGAAGGCACGGGGGGAGGTAAGAGCTGAGAACCCATTTCATTTAGCCATAGGTGGTGGTGATGGTTTTAAAATGCCCAGATCTGAAACAGAATGACCTCCACCCTTACAACAAAACAAACCCAAAACCCTCCAAAGGATGTAATTTATTGTTACTGTCTGCCTTCAAGTTGTTTCCAACTTATGATGACCCTAAGGCAAACCTGTCAAGGGGCTTTCTTGGCAAGATTTCTTCAGAGAGGGTATGTCTTTGCCATCCTCTAAGGTTGAGAGAGTGTGACCTTCCCAAGGCTGGGTTTCATGGCCCAGCTGGGAATTGAACCTTGGTTTCCAGAGTCGTGGCCCAACATTCAAACCACTATGCCAAACCTTTGAAGGTAGTTATACAGCAGGGCCTCCAGATTTGCTTTGCTTAGGGGTACAAGATCCCAATGAAAGTAGAAAACGCACAAATTAAAAACGAACACTATTCTTTTTACCTGAGTGAACACCTCTCTAGGAGTCTCTAGGTCCTACAGTGCAAGACTACAGTTAACATCCTCGGAAGTTGACCATAGAATTGCACTGGAGGACCTACAAATGTTTAGAGAAGTATTTTTCTCTAGGAATCTCTAAGCCCTCCATCACAGCGTGATCGTCAAACTGTAGCAAAGTCATACTGGAGGACTTAGAAATTGCTAGAGAAATCCTCTGAAATCTCTGAAATGGTAATATGGGAGGATTGTTGTTAAGGACCCTCGAGTTGGACTTATGATGACCCTTGGGATGAGACATTTCCAAGAGCTCCTGTTGTCCACTGCTCTGCTCAGTTCCTGCAAATTCATCCCTGTGGTGTCCTCCTTCATAGAGTCCCTCCATCTAGCATGCAGCCTTCCTCTCTTTCTACATTCCTCCACCTTTCCTTGCATTATTGTTTTTTCCAATGAGTCATGCCATCTCATGATGTGGCCAAAGGACAAGAGCCTCAACTTATTAATCTTGGAGAACTTATTCATCTTCCAGGGAGATTTCAGGCTTGATCTGTTCCAGGACCCATTGGTTTGTCTTCTTGGTTATCCACAGCATCCTCAGCACTCCTCTCCAGCTTCTGGTGTCTGGTGTAGCCTATTCATCCTCTATCTTTCCCTCTGTTGCATTCCTTCTGTGTGTGTGTGTTTTGTGTGTGTGTCTTTGGTATAGTGCCTTCATTCTCTGTGTGTGTTGTGTGCCCCTGTGTCTGGTGTAGCCTATTCATCCTCTCTCCTCTCTGCTGCATTCCTTCCATCTCTCTGTGTGTGTTGCATTCACTGTGTGTATGTAGTCATTGTGTGTGTGTCTTTGGTGCAGTGCATTCCACCTCTGTGTGTGTGTGTGTTGTGTGCCTATGTCTGGTGTAGCCTATTCATCCTCCCTCCTCTCTGTTGCATTCCTTCTGTGTGCATGTGTTATATGTGTGTTGTATTCATTGTGTGTATGTAGTCATTCTTTGTGTGTGCCTTTGGTATAGTGCATTCCTCCCCTGTGTTTGTGTTGTGTGCTTGTATCTGATGTAGCCTATTCATCCTGTGTATGTTGCCTTCTTTCTGTGTGTGGGTGCCTGGCATTCCTTCTCCTCCTTCCTTCCTTCCTTCCCTCCCTCCCC